GTTAACAGAAGACAGTATCACTTCAGTGAAAGACAATACTGAACGTAAATACGTAAAAACACACTAAAAGATAGGTTAAACTAGTTAATAACATACGTACTGTTCGAATTCAGAAAAAATTAGGATTATAATGAAAAACTGGGGCTTTCTTTGTAGATAAAAACGCCAAAAAACGTCCCACGGCTTGTTTCAATATTTTTGCCGAACAGTAAACACGATTCCACGCGCAGGTCGCGAGGATGAAGTCTGATCTATATAAATCGTATTTAAACTGTACTAACTGTAGGGAGCCACCTTAAACCTTTTTTAAACATCTTTTTTTTAATAACTTAATATTTTATAATAATATAAGTGTTTTTTTAAACTTTAAAGCTGCCAAATTGATGGTTTATCCCATCTTTTTAAGGTGAAAACAGAAATTTAAATCCGGCCGGATTTTCTCCAAATCCGGCCGGAAGCCGGATGCCGGAAAATTCGTTAAATCCGGCCGGAATTCCGGCCGGATTTGAAATCCGGTGCACCCCTAAAAATTTACACCAAAAATGGAGTAAATAAAGGAGTAAAATTTACTCCAAAAAAGGAGTCGTTCTGTACCTTTTTTATTTACTCCACTTTTGGAGTCAATTCGACTCCTTTGGAGACAAAATGACTTCTATATATCGGAGTAAAGAAAAGTCTTTAACTAACTTTAGAAATCAATAAAGACATTTTTCGAGTCAAAATAATTTATTATCCCTACAAGTAAGGTATATTATAGCAGGAAATACAATTTTCTGTAGCATAATATGATATACTCTTACGCCCTATAATATTTAATGCAGTTCTAAAATGAAATTTTCATTAGAATGATGAACCTGCAGCACTGCAATTCTACCACAGCCCTCTGACCTAAAGAGCCCTTTTGCCAAGAGGTAACCACAAGTTGCTGTATATATACCATGGTGGTGTCATTGGTAGTGTATTAAATAAACTATTAGAATTATAGGGTTTGGAATCCAAGTGAGAATATATACATTTTAAGACCTAACCAGGAACGACTGCGAAAAATGCAGCACAAGGTCCTCTGGTAGGAATCGAACCTACGGCCCTGCGATTTAATGAAGTTCTAAGGGCCGTTCGCAGGGCCGTAGGTTCGATTCCTACCAGAGGACCTTGTGCTGCATTTTTCGCAGTCGTTCCTGGTTAGGTCTTAAAATGTATATATTCTCACTTGGATTCCAAACCCTAACATTCTAATATTAATTCTACCAAGTGAAGTGCAGAATCTAAGTCATGAAGTCCACCTTATCACAACCCACACACCCGATTACCTAGTATATATTCATGAACTTACGGTTACAGCTTAACAGCTGGCCTCTGTAGTTCCATTCCCAGTACAGTATCGGCTATTACATAGTTATCGTTCAAAAATTTATATTTACAGAAAAGCTTTAACCCATTAAGTGGCAGCACTCTCTCCTTAATGAGAAAAAATTGTCTGACCACATTAGACAGAAAAAATAAAAAAGTAAAGCAAATTGCCACTTAAAGGGTTAATATTCTGTTCAATGTAGAATATTTACAAGTAAAATATACTGCATGTATTAAATGTATGTAGTCTCACTTCTCAATCAAACATGTCAAGCAAGTCCATTAGTAAAAATTTAGTACAAAACAAGCTGTATACCACAAGTTGGCAACTCCATCCCTTGCATGGTTTGGTAATTCACAAAAATGCTCTCCAGCAAAAGAATAACATTTTCCAAATAGACCATGAAGTTCTTAGAATGCCATTAATGATTACATATAATACCACTTGTTTTGACAACTTGCCTTCTCCTGGGAAGCTTTTGTTAAATCCATATATTAATGAGAATCCCTAGTAAGAAAAAATATATAAGGTTGATATATAACAGGAGCAAATTATTGATTGATGTTTGTGATGTTACTCTGAGTGTGCATCCACACCGGGCAAGTCCTGCGGCCTTTGGGATACTAGTCCAATGCTCTGCCAACTGAGCTACATGGTCAAGTCTGTTCGAGTTGTTGATATTTTGGAACTGAGTCTAGTTCCATCGATATCAGTGTACAGGGGTATTCAATGATACGATTATTTTGTGTGTGTTGGTGTCATGTACTCAGGTGAATATATGATGTTTGTGATGTTATTCTAGTCTCTCACTGAGTCACACTGGGCAAGCTGAAAAGTTAGCTTGGCCACGGTAACAGGTTCGATTCCCACTGTGGCCAAGCTAACTTTTCAGCTTGCCCGGTGTGGATGCACACTTACAGTAACATCACAAACATCATATATTCACCTGAGTACATAACACCAACACACACAAAAAATAAAAATTATTTATTGATTGACAATGAATTTGCTATTTTTGGTTGTTTGCATATATACAAAGCAAGAAATACAAAATTCAAATGCTTTTACTCATTTAAAGTAAGCATGCAATTGAACTAACATCATCCAAATGAATACAACTTTTCTGGTAAAGGGTGTTTAAAATAGAGGTGCATAATTGACCCAAAATTCATTGTCCCAAAATCTTGCTAATGCCAAGCTAGGATTTTCCATATAAATTATATACCATCACCCACAATTTGGCACAGTATTACCCCTGGGTAAAAAGATCTCTGTGATTGTTTTTGTCAGTTTATACATTTCGAGACTGTCTGCAAAAGTATGAGTAATTGATCACTTGTTGGTTCACTTTATTGGGAAATGTGCTTGTACTATATAACTCAGTCTGGGTGATTTGTTTTGGCAAGCCTGCCCATCTAAAGAGGCTCATGTAACCAGACATTCATCCAGGGAAAGCGAGCTATAGCCAGGTTACCTGGGTGGCTCGCCTCTATATACGCAGCCCCTTACACATGTTTTAGGCTGACTGATAGCCGATAGGAGGGCTACCATAGCAAGCACATGCCATACACTGGGTAATATTAGATGAGCTATTGCAATGCTGTCAAATGTGACTGCATTTCAAACAGATCACATATATATTAAAGTATACATTTTTAACACGAAATACAACATACATGTATATCACACAAATAAAGCCCCATTTACACGAGCAAATTTTATTTGACAAATTTCATAAGTCAGAGATATTTTGCTCGTGACTCGTGTAGATGATAAATTTGTCACAAATTTATTGTGACAAATGCATTTGATTTTGATGAAATCAAATTTGTCAAATAAAATTTGCTCGTGTAAACGGGGCTAACAACACATATAAGTAGAGACTGTAGATTAGACTTATGGACTTCTGCTAATACAAATTAATCGACAATTAAAACTGAACGTCTAGATCGGCAAATCGGCGGCGAAGCGACTAAAATACAGGCCTTCGTCTTCGATTTAAAAATATAACTATACAGTATATCAAGTAACTTTCCGCACACAAATAAGTAAATACACAATAAACATACCTTTGAAAACAAATTCCATGTATCTTATTAGGTCTTTGGAACTTTATAAGCAGAAAATTTGAATAAATATCTTTCCCCTTTGAATATTTGCTCCCAAAGGATTGAAAATGGCGCTTGGTCTTCGTGTGAACCAGATCGAATTACTACAACACGTGATATATTCTAAGCATGCTAATTGGTTGATACTCTGGAACTTCCACTTGTCGCAAATTATATTCAGCAGAATTCAGCGCAGAACATTCCGCAATTCAAATTGCAGATTTAGGCCAGCAAATAAAAAATATAGATGACTCGCCGACAATTTCGGGCTATATAGCCGATATACGGTATAATACATCAATGGCATCAATCTGACTTGGCAACATTCAAGTAACCGAAAACGTAAAATTAAAAAAAGACTTTATATCTCGAACTTCGTGCTTTTCGCATCTGACTGTATTCAATACTTTAATAGAGTATAGCCTCCAGCAGAAAAACTCTTGGATTCTCAGGCACATTAATTATATATTGTAATAATTTACTCCAGATTCAGAACAATTTTACTCTTTTTTGGGAGTTGAAACGACCCCTGGAGTAAAATTAAGGAGTACAAATTACTCCATAATTTCTACTCCTAAACGCGAGTTTAGTTTACTCCTCCAGCGGAGTAAAATTGACTCCTGATGGAGTAAATTGTAGAATGCGCGCAGAAGTGGAGTAGTTTTAACTCTATTTTGGGAGTAGATTTTACTCCACAATTTTTACTCTCCCGAGTTGAGTAGTTTTAACTCCTATGGTGGAGTTAAAATAACTCCTTGAAATTAACAGTGTAACAGCACAATAAAAGGATTTTAAATCATCTTTACACGCGCCATAATTCTTAAGGATCTTTAAAAAATGGAGCCGTTTAGCTGCTTTTTTGATAATAAATTCAGTATTTGTGGTCCACTTCATATCATCCAGTCACATTCCGAGTAATTTATATGACTTTACCCGAGCGATAGGTTGGCCGTCAATATTAATTGGCGGGATGGTTGTTTTATTTTTCCTGGAATCAAGAATCATTTCTCTGCATTTCGTCGCATTTAGTTCCATTTTTCTTGCTTTGCAAACAGAACTACATTGTTGACATTTTCTTGAGTTTTCCCAATCGGTGTCCCGGAAGTGTGGTCTGATACTTGTATCACTTCAGATAAGGTCGTGTCGTCCATAAACATTGTTGTTTCTCCCTCATCCGTACGATTTTGGTTAGTTGTTTCGGACGATTCCCAATTTGTAACCGACTACATTGTTGACATTTTCTTGAGTTTTCCCAATCGGTGTCCCGGAAGTGTGGTCTGATACTTGTATCACTTCAGATAAGGTCGTGTCGTCCATAAACATTGTTGTTTCTCCCTCATCCGTACGATTTTGGTTAGTTGTTTCGGACGATTCCCAATTTGTAACCGACTACATTGTTGACATTTTCTTGAGTTTTCCCAATCGGTGTCCCGGAAGTGTGGTCTGATACTTGTATCACTTCAGATAAGGTCGTGTCGTCCATAAACATTGTTGTTTCTCCCTCATCCGTACGATTTTGGTTAGTTGTTTCGGACGATTCCCAATTTGTAACCGACTACATTGTTGACATTTTCTTGAGTTTTCCCAATCGGTGTCCCGGAAGTGTGGTCTGATACTTGTATCACTTCAGATAAGGTCGTGTCGTCCATAAACATTGTTGTTTCTCCCTCATCCGTACGATTTTGGTTAGTTGTTTCGGACGATTCCCAATTTGTAACCGACTACATTGTTGACATTTTCTTGAGTTTTCCCAATCGGTGTCCCGGAAGTGTGGTCTGATACTTGTATCACTTCAGATAAGGTCGTGTCGTCCATAAACATTGTTGTTTCTCCCTCATCCGTACGATTTTGGTTAGATGTTTCGGACGATTCCCAATTGTAACCGATGGGAGTTGGTTGATTTTTATAATGAAAGCTATTGGA